TTTACAGTAGCAAGCAAGGTCATTTTGAAAACTTACAGAAACTGATATATATAAATATATATATATATATATGTGTGTGTGTGTGTGTGTGTGTTATTCATTTTAGTAATTAATATTTTGTGACATATTGGTACTGTATAATTTTCATTCTGCTGATAACTTGTTTTTGAACAAATTTAAGTATGAAAATACTCAGATTCTTCTTTTTTCATTTATCAGAATTTTTTCTTTGACATATTAGAATGAAAGAACCTACTTTTTTAAAAATAATGGACCAATCATAAAATCCTGGCTCATTTTAGTCAAATTTATTCTTCTTAGAAATGGTTGACTCTTTTCTCCTGCAAGTAATGAACTTCTGTCACCTTTCTCTGATATTGGGGCTAGGATATTTTCTTTTATATTTCTTTAAATTTAAAAGGTCCAGGTTACTTGACTATATCAAATTATTTAAATTGAACATTATATTGTGATTCTTGAGGGTTTCAAAAGTGATTCAAATTAGTAGAATATGCTTTTTTGCGAGCTAGTGGATGATTTCTCAAATATCTCAAATAGAGTTGAAATATCTCTATTTAAGTGGCATATCTTCTCTATAAAAGTAATAGCTGGGAAGAAATTGTCACTGGTGTCTAAATTTCAATTAAGATGTTTCTTCCAATAAGTATTTTCACAAATTTGTCACATAGATCATCTCATAAAATGATTTTTAAAAATATTTCCTCTTTGTATACTCTTTCCCCCCACTTGTATTTTTGGAGTTGGTGGGTATCAAACCCATTTCTTCCCAATTCCTTGTGCACATTAGGCATACAATATAACATAAGTTGATAAGTCATATCACCAACTCTTATATATATGCCTTCTTTTTTTTTTTCTTCTGGTACCAGGGATCAAACTCAGGACTTAGTGCTTGCCAGGCAGGCACCGGCAATACCAAGATACATCCCTGGTATGTTATATATTCATCCTTGGATGATATAATAGATACATGTTCTATGTACATTCCAAGTACATTCCTGTGGCATACTGTGCTGTATCAATGATCTGCTTTTGATGCTACAGCTACTATATAGTATAATGGTTACTATGTACATGTGTGTTCTGATTTTAACTTTTCTACTTTTCATTATCAAGAACAAAATCTGACTCACAGACTGAAATTTCTCAGTGCCATTAATTAAGTTAAATGAATTTCTAATATTGAAATGACATGAAAGAAAAAAATGTAGCAAAGGATGTAATGAATTTAGTTGAACAACATTTATGTTATTTGATGAATTTACATGGTTTCTACCAATAAGAAACTTCAATAATTAAAGTGAATGGGATTATTTAAAAGATTACTTGACATGTGCTAATGAAATTATCATGTAATTTCTTGACACAAATGCATTTTATTTCTTTTCTCAGTTTCTTTTGTGTTAATCTTGTAGGTATGATAATATTTGGTTAAAGTGAAATTTCAATGCTGCCTGCCTGGGTTTGAATCTTGGTTCTGCTATTTATGAGCTGTGACTTTTGGGCCAGTAGCTCTGTGTCAGTTTTCTTATCTGAATAACAGACGAATTAATAGTTATCACTTCATAGAATTGTTATACTGATTCAATGAGTAAAAACATGTGAGAAGTTTACAGTAATACTAGCACATGTAACTTAAATATTTGGGTCATTTTTTAATCTCTTTACTATTATGGGAATTAAAGTGGTTTTATTCCTGAAATGAATTTTTATCCAGTGACTACTTAAAATAATTAAGTAAATTGCATGAGTAAATTCTCTTATTAATGCATTTTATTGTGGTTATAATGGTGGAGAAGTGATGAGAATGGTTATAATTAGTGAAGTAGTGATAGTCTTCAACATGATTTAGTTCATCAACTGTTTAACCTTCATACTACGTTTTATGGTGACTACCTGCAGCCATCAGTTTTGATGCTTCTGTTGTAACCCTGTGGTACCCTTTTTAGGTTGGGAGTTAAAGGGATATGTTATAAAACTGCATTTGGACTTTTGGTATGTGCACTCTGGTCAACGCAAGAAAACTTGAGTTAATATAAATGTAACTAACTATAATTATGATACTTTTAAGAGCTTGCAACATATATTATATTATTTGGTTCCTATTCTATGCATTAGGGATAAGTTATCCTTATTTTTCTTATGAAAACTCAGTGATTTAGAAAGGTAAAATGATTTACCTGAGGCTGCATAGCTAATCATAATGACAATGTATAGAATTGTCATCTTTAACCTTATCTTTTGATAACTATTTCTAGTTAATAAAATCTCATTAAATATTATACATCATTTTAAGAAAAAAATAATTAGACAAAAGTAGAATTAGAATGTGAATTGTATAACGTTTAAGGCCACTGGGTATAAAGTAATAAAGAAAGTAGGACCAATGCTGACAATTGCTTTTAGAGTTTGTACTATTTGAAAGACTCAGAATCCTGGTATTAAGTTGTTTTCATAATATATATTCTCCTATACAAGGGGAAAATAGAATTTATAAGAACTTTTCTTTCCGTTGTTTTGTACCTACAGATTTACCTACAGTAAAATACATATATTAACATTAGAATGTCTTAGAAATATAGGAAGAAAAATGTCTTTTTGATGAACATATTGGCATTTCTTAGATGTATGAATCAAGTCATAAATCTGTGCTTTGGTAATTATTATGTGTAAAGATCCTTAGGGTCATTAACAGCACAATTGCTTGAAAACTAAAAGGGTTTATTAAAAATATAAGCTTATTAGCAATAAGCAAATGAACTTCCTAATGAAATATTTACTTGTTATCTATTAGCATTTTTATAATGAAAATCTATTTGAGACATGTACCAGTCAGTTTCTGTCAGGTTATACTGTAATACTAATCAACTCCAAATTGCAGTGAAAATATTATAAACATTCTTATTCATGCTACTTGTCCATTGAAGGCTGATATGGAATGTACCCTCACAGTTCTTTCTTCTGTGGTCAAACACAAAGGAAAGCCACAATGGAACTGCAAGACAAAATTAAAGTTCATGCTTGGTAACACCACAGGTCACTAAGGTTTATTTTGGATTGACTAAAGCTAGACACACGGTCAACCCTGAGATTATAGGATGGGAATTAAATTTCTTTCCTAAGAAGGAATCCTGAAGAAGGAATTTAGAAGGAAAAGAAGTGGCTAATTTGAACTAATAGTGAAATTATGTCATCATTGCAATTTCCAGGTATGGATTCAGCTCAAGGTAAATATTACAGTTGTCTGTGACAGAGGATTATCTCAAAAATTTTATCTCATGGTCAATATCTATATTTTTTAGTTTTTAAATTTTTGGCTGGGGTTCTAGTTTGGTGTTGTATCAGAATTTTCTCTGTATTTTTTGAATCATCAAATTGTTGAGGTCAACACTTTAATAAATAGACTCTCACATCAAACTAGTGTTACTGCATCAAGAGAGGGATTCTTGGGGTATGGGGGTGCTGAGAAGCCTATGGGCAGAAGGCCTGCGTGCTCCTGTGAGACTGGAAAGCTGCCAGGAATCGCTTCCTCTTTTTTCCTGTTTCCTTTTTTTAAAGTGTACATTTCATCCTTTACTCTTTGCATATGAGCAGCTCACTGTATTTTCATGCATTTAGTGGTTAGTGCAAGCCCCTGTAGCTCCTGAGTTTACCTGTCACCACATAAAAATATATCAGTCTGAACTGTTATCAGATCTGAATTCTCAAGAGAGAGTTCGCTATAACCAGCTAGGATTATAGAATTTGAATTTATATGGACAGGAAAGAGACAGGGGAAGTTCACAGAATGAAGGTTGGACTAACAGTCCAAAGCTGTCTATTATGCAAAGGTTAGATTTCTTATTAAAAATAAGGAAATCTAAAGTGAATTCCTTATTTTAAAAAATCATATCCCATTGAATATGATTTAAAGAAGTTCTCAGTTAAGTTTTTTGCTACTTGATGTGGAAATTAAAACACACGGATACAGCTTGAAAGGCAACTAACAGGTCAGTTTTGAAGATCTGAAGTTGTTAAAGAAAAAAGTGTTGCTTGTGCTCAAGTTCTGTCCCACACTCTGTTCCTGCCTTTTGCCGGAGCGGTGTTAGGTTGGTTCACCAGTTGCCCAATGAGGCATCACAGGAGGTCTGTGCTTCTCCGAAATTAGAGGGTGGCTGGAGAGAGGGAGATACTAGATGTTCTGTAAAAATGTGTTTCAGTCCTCACTTTAAAATGCGGATTAAATCAAATACAGTGCTAATGTTCTTTTAAATTCTATGAATTTAGTTGCTCCTCTAAAGCAAACTGAAAATATCAGTGCATTATATTTTTCTGCAGTATCTTATTCAGAAAGTTTTTGGTAAGCCTAAGACTTTAGAAAAGTGAAAACAATGATTTCTCATGCATGTTTCCATTAGCTAGATCCCTGTTTTAAAGCCACATTTACTTGTGTCTCTCTACACAAATGCTCATGTCTTTCTTTGTACACCAACGTGGTTCACTCAATTAAAATAAAATTACCTCAGTCTTTTATTGCCCTTACGTTTTTTGTACTGTATCTTCCTCTTTGTTGTCACATTAAAAATGAAAATGTGAGAAAATGAAAAGATAGAAATAAAGTGGTTGTAAATGGGGAGGGGAGGAGGGGTGAAGGGAGGGCAGGGACAAGGGGAAAAAATGAGAACCAAGACCTGTCATGTAAAGGTACAAGAGCCTAGTAATGAATGTAACTGTACTGTATCCATAAAATGTACCAATAAACTCAATTAAAGCTGAAAAAAAAAGTTCTTGTAGAAAATACACATAAATTAAATGTGTATGACCAAAAAAGGCTGTGATACCATTTCAATCACTTATGACAGCACAAGTAGAACTTTACCTATTGTCAGAAAAAAAACTGTTGGTGGCTTCCACACAAATTGTCTTTAACGTCTGTGCTGATGTTTGTTTCCCAAACCAGTTTGTTCATGCACTTCCATTTCTTTTTTTCTTTGCTGTAGCTGGAAAATGACCTAGAGTTAACAGCAGGTGGCAGTGTTAGCAAAGGTTGTGCTTCTGGGACCTAATCAGCCTGGAGAGGAGCCTCTTTCCAATCTGAGTGAGTAAACTGTCAGTAGAGTCTTTAAATAAAGACTTACACGTCTCCATTTAATTAGAATTCACGCATTATTTTAGGAAAGAGTTGAAAGTTATAGGACAAATGTATTTTAAAATATTGATTTAGACCTTGAATTTTGTTTTAATTGTGGGATCAAGTACATAACTGAAAATATCCAATTTTCTTTTGCCTTTGTTTCTTGCTTACTTTATACTCTAAAAAAGTGTCTGAATGCTTTCCACTAGAAAGTTTAGATAGTTCAAATCCTGTTAAAAATTTAAGGAAAAAATCACAGTAATATTTATTTATTTCTATCAATGAAAAGTAGTGATTTTGAAATTTTCTAGCAAACATCAAGAAAGCTACTCTAAAACAAAACTACTCTCATTCCACAGGGTAACAGATTTTAGAAAGTTTAAATTGCTCTTGACATTTAGTAAAGTAATTTTGAAAATCATCTTTCATTATAGTTTGCTCTGTGGGCCGTGATTTTGTTGTATTCCTTCTTTCTTTTTGAAGAAAAGAAACCTGGAGAAAAAAAGAATGTTTTCTTTTCATTGAGGCATTCTATTGATGTTCACAATTTTTGTGTTGTGGAATGATGATGAGTATGATACATCAAAAACTGCTCAATGTTGCTTGGATTGGAACAGTTCCGTGTGTGTTTGGATAACTCACACAGGATTTATTTATGTGTTCATCTAGGTAGCAGATAGCAGCAGGTTAGTTGATTTCTATTATCAATGGAATTATTGAACTTAGTAAGAACACAGAATAATGAAAATTAGAATTGAGAGATCGTGTAGTTTAATGGGATCATTGTTAAGATGAACAAACTGAAGTCCAAGGGAAATTTCCCTGAAGGAGAGACTTTAATGGTATGAAAGGACCTTGTCGCATTCAGACTTGATTTTCAGACTGACTCAGGAATGACTCAGCTGCAAATTATTATTTTATGTACTTGCACTCTCAGGATTCCTGGATTCACTAGGTTCTGTATTTTGTTACAAAGAAAATGTTGGACAAATAATCTGTCTTTTCCAAAAAGAATATATTTTGGCCATTTCTCTAACTGGTTGACCTCATGCCTAGATTTGTTTGAGGAGTAATCAAAATTTGGCGAGTATGACTACGTGTAGTGTTTTATGAGAAATATTCAGTGTAGAGGCAGATATTACTGTCTCTATAGTTTAACACTGTAAGCAGGAAAAATGCTAAATATTTCTAAATTACCTTAAGATAAAACAGCCAATCATCAGGAGATTAGAGTAGGTTAAAATGACTCTTAAGCGTAATTACATATTCCCCAAGAGACAACTTTATCCCTGAGAAACAAACAACGCAGAAAGAAACCTTAAATTTTTCTTCAAGAGTTACATTGCATCTAAGGATGATATGCAAACAGGCCATACATTATATGGGGGATAAATCATTTTTTGAAATACAAACACATCGCCTGTTCTTAATAGGCTATCGGTGATTTACAGAAGCCATTGGTTAGGTTAAAACAAATTTCATTCTTCTTAAATTTATGATTATTATCATTACTCCATTACAATCCAATATTTACATACAGTACTGTTTGTTAAAGTTAGGCAAATCACTTTTTCTGGAAAATTCTCAGGTCAAGTGTATGGGCAAGTGAAAGTCTTAGAGATAGAATTTTATCAAATTTTTCTGTAGTAATCTATATTTTAAATTACAGCACAGCTCATTCCAAATCGATGTAATGAATTGATTTGTAAATGTTTCAGCCAGCCTACTTTCTTTGGATTTTGTCTACTGAGCGTTGACTTCAGTTAAAGCATCTTTTTTCTGCATAATTATGTCTGTGTTCTTGGCCTTTCACTGAGTTTAAACTGGGTTTAAAAGGCAGAAACATATGTGAAGGCAACATGATGCACATCCATTATTCTTAGTCTTATAAATATTGAAGGACTTTTTCTCATTTTTATGACAAAAAGGAGAGAAAACAAAATTGAATGCCTGAACTCCAGTGTCCCCTTCAGAAGATACTTTCCTATTTTATTTCTGGGAAAAATTGAATTTAATATTTTCCGATGCCTATTTGCCTGAATACACAGTTATATTCATTATTTTTTTAGCTATGGTTATCTTTAAATTACAACCTATGACAAAGAGTTAATAAAAGAATAAGATAGTGATCTTAATTTTGAGAATTCTGAAAGTCTGCTGAGTTAACATAGAAATGGAAAGAACTATCATGAAAAATAAATTCAAGTAACATTTGTTGAATATATATATAGTGCCTCTGTATATCAGGCACTGGGTTAGTTATCTTTTAAATAAATTTCAGTTTCATAAGATACATAGAAGGTGTTTTATGCATCATCTACAGATGAGAAAGTTGGAAAGTTAAATTGTTGAATCAGATTAAAGCACAAGTTTCCATAATCATATTTCAAGTCTCAAAAGCATCATTTTCCTTCACCACCTACTAGTTATCAAGTAGTAGGGATATAAAAAATGAATCAACTTAGTTTCTGCCTTGAGGAAATTTGGATGATGTTCTGTTAGGACTGACAGGCATTCAAGCAAATAGTTTACGTTAGTTACCATTTCATAAGTCCCAACGCATGTACTACAATAAGAGAATTTCTTCTGATAAAGGGAGCTGTATCCCATACACTTGACCTGAGAATTTTCCAGAAAAAGTGATTTGCCTAACTTTAATAAACAGTACTGTCTGTAAATATTGGGTTGTAATGGAGTAACGATAATAATCATACATTTCAGAAGAATGAAATTTGTTTTAATCTAACTGTGGAGTCACTGGGGTGTGAAAAGGTGAAGGGCTGAGAAGGAAGAAGTAGAGCTGCATGGCTCTTTTCAGAGGATCTAGAATTTTATGGTAAGTAGGCTAGGACTCCTGGGTTACTCTGCTGATGCAAATGGATTTAATAGTTTTATGTCTTGGAAAATACACTTAAAATATTTACAGTTGTAAGTTCAAATTACTGTGAGTTTTACTCCATCGAGTATTTGTATAACTTCTGTGGAATATATTTGACAGGATAGAGTTCTCCAGTAGTTATTTGCAGTGGCCACTAGCAAAGCATGTACAGTTTCTTAAAAATTATGCACATACTTACACAGTAGATTTTGGTTGTCAGTGATACTTACTGTGGAAGCATGTTGTCAGGATGAGATACTGATAGTGTTCAATTGGCAGTTTCAGATAAAATTATTCAGTTTATGGAGCGTATATGAGGGACTACATAATACATATATTATACTGTAAGATAGATGGCTTTTAGGATTTTAGATTTTTCAAAAGTCTAATTATAATAAAGAATATTTTTGGAGCTGATAGTGTCCTTAGTGCTCTTAAATCTATAGAACCTGAGGGAATGGTGATCTTTCTAAGTGTCATTTTGTTTGCTCCAGAGCTAACTGTGTTTACAGGTAGGCTACCCAAAATTTTACATTTAAATTTCACTTGTAATTTGGGAATTGATGGAAACCTTAAGTACTCAAAGAATTTCTTATATGATATCTTATTTTAGTTCGATGACACTGTATTTTCTGTCTTCTCAGATGTTATTTAGCTATATGAGATTTGTAATACTGTTGGTTAAGGCTCTGCGCTCTTAATGAAACCAGAATTATTGATGTGCAGATACTGAGTGTTTTTCTGATAAAATATGAATGTAATATAGTTTAGGAGTTAAAAATCCGGAGAGATCTCAAGTTGTATTTTTCAAGTTAAAAGTATCTTAAGAGATGTAACATCACCTTGGAAAGAAAAAATTACTTGAAAATGTAACAGTTTAAACAATAATTCTTTTGATATCTCTTCAGTTTGATCAGTTGTTTCTATGTCACAAAGCAGGTGTCCTTTGCATTGTCAGCAGCGTGAACTCAGAAACAAAGCTTCCTGTTCAAACTTCTCACATTTTTCCTAAATATTTCATAGATGCAAAGCTTTAAGTGATAGAAGCAGATTTTTTTCTATCAGAAAAGGGAATAAGCAATTATTTTTGTTATGGGGTCAAACTAAATAGAAAGGTAACAACTGGTCAGTTTTTAAAAGGTTTCTGGGTCGGTTGAATTTAACGTTTCTCTAAGAACATGAGTCAGTTAAAATATAAATTGTGTGCATGTGTGTTTAATTTTCCTATTGATCCTTAAGTAAAAGCCCTCATTATTGCTGTTCTTTGGAGGATATTGTACTCGACTAGAATTCATTTTTGTGCCTCGTATAAACAGGTACAAACAGATTCTGTGTTGATTTCATGATACCAGCATCAGGAAATAAGATCTGTGATACCTAACGATGGCCTTCTTGTTGAATTGTTTTGTGCCTAGGAGGCAGGATCTTAAATTCTTATTAGCTTGTTAATATGTCAGACATAATTGGAAAAATATGGAGTGTTTCCTAATTATTATCATAGTGACTGCAACTCTATATAATTCTAGTTCCTCAACAATATGAAGAGGTGTGAGCTGCAATTAATATTTTGGATTATGCAATCACAGAGTTATAGGTGTAAAGTGTGTAAATATCATTATTCTAATGAAAATTCAAATTTACAAAATGAAACCTGTGAATACCTTGAATAAATTGCTCCTGATGAAGAAAATCCTTAAATGACCATTAGAGGGTGCAAAGGCATTGCAGAAATGAATAAACTATTCCTAGAATGAGAAATAACGGGAGAAGTACATTTTTTCAACCATGAAATGCTTAATATTTCAGAAAACATTCAAATCTTCCAGAGCATTTCTTTGAACATGAGATGAGTATATGCTCATCTGAGTATAATCCTACTTTTCTTACTTGATTTCTTCTGAATGAACAAGTGTCACTGTGCTGGCTTTTGAAAAGCTTAAAAAGGATAAAATCAGTAGCAGTGTTGGGGAGGAAATGTTTGCCATTATTGTTGCTGTTACTGAAACAAGGTGGGTTTTCAAAGTCATAAAACACCATTTGAGAGAAATTTAAATCTTAGGTCTTATTTTTTGTCTGTGAAGATGAA